TATATATATATATATATATATATATATGTGTGTGTGTGTGTGTGTGTGTGTGTGTGTGTGTGTCTGTGTTAATGTTATATTTTTCTCTCTCAATATAATATACTTTAAACATATACATAATTGACATACATGGACCCCACAAAACCCATCCCTCACCCCAGCCCCTTTAGAAAATTTCCAAAAAAATTGAAAACATTTTCTAGAAATTACAATTCAGTAGCAGTGCATTTAAGTAACCAGATTTGTGCCTTACCGTCTAGTTTGTAAGTAGACCTTTGTTATGTGTGACTAATTGGGACCAAATTTATCTTCAATGTGACTGTTTGTAATCGTTTAATTTGTGATTATATGTAACTAAATCACTAACTTGTGCTATTTGTGATTAAATGTGATTAAATTTATCTTCAATGTGATTAACTATGATCAAATTTGTCTTCAATGTAACTATATATGATCAAGTCACAATTAATACAAAATTTGTCACAATCAATCACAATAAACATATACTTGATCAAAGAGAGTCACCACAAACAAATTTGCACACACTACAGACTAGCACCACAATCCACCACCTTCACCTCCATTGCTTCGCCACTACCAAGTTCAACTCAAATTCACGACAATGAATTTGTGTTCGAACACACGAATTTTTTCGTTTTAATCAAAATATGATGAGCCAATATAGACCGATCAACTAGCGTGACTTGTACTCAACATAAAACCACTAGTTTTATATTATCTTCTTATTTCTTGGAGCAACACAAGAAGTCTTTTGCCCCTCAAGATTATATAAGTAATTAAAAACAAATTGTAATAAACTTAAAGGACAAAAAGATAATTTTAACTACACAGTTCACCTTTCCGATGAAGAAGTGGGCATGATTACCGATCTCAGGCGGAGGAGTGGACAGTGGTGATATGGTGGTTGTAAAGAAGGGTTTATGGAGGGTTGGCCGCTTGGTATATGTAACGTAGGGTTTTGTATTACCTAAAGACCATAGCACTAAGGGATTGTACGTAGTCGCGATCGGTGATGCTGTTTCCTTCGTTAAGCCAACAATAGCGGCGTCGCGAGCAGGTTTCCGCAGGCAATGATGCTACTTACTTTAATACGGCGTCGTGATTTCAGCACTCGTCACTTGTCTTGCTATGCCTTTAACAAATAGAGAGGGCGTAGAGTGTGGGGAGAGAGAGAGAGACGAAAGAGAGAAATGAATTTAGGGTGTAGCCGAGGGTGGGTGGATGATTTTGTTTTAATAAATTTGTAATAATTATATTAATATTTCTTAATTAGCACTTCATTTATGAATTTAAAACTAATCCCTTTTGTTCATGAAAATCAGTCTTTAAATATAGGTTTCTAATTTTTACTAGCTAATTTTATTACGTAGAAACCTCCAGTCCGCAAAAGGACTTTTCCTTTAGAAAAGTTTATCATATACTTTAAGCTATAAGTTTAACTAGTTATTAGCTAATATAAGTGCGGAAACTTTTAAACAAAGTAAATTGTCAGGATTTGTAAGTATAAATAGAAGGACATTGCTACTTGAACAGGGCCACATGTGCCCTATTCAAGCAGGCCTAACCTGACCTTACATAAATCGAATCGAAATGATATGCCTAGCCCATTTACTTTCAGTCACCACGTAGAAATTAAGATAATTTTGGTAATTAGGAACTGTTGAAAATTTACTTAATCATGCACAAGGGAAAATAAATCAAATTTTAATTTCCACGAAGAATTTGCTTTATGTTTAGATAGAAATTGTACCTTTCTTTGATTTTACAAGCTCCTTTGCTATTATTTTATTTCAACAATCTTGATCTGCCACCTACAACCGTCTAATTGTCTAACTTCCAATAAAAATCCATACGGGGAATAAGATTGAGAGAGAACCAGGGTTTTATTTTCTTGTGCTAGCAAGAAAAATGAAAAATCTGTACAATTTCAAAACCCTACCTGCTTATTTATATAAGTCCAAACGGACTTGGCCCGTCTCCTAATCTGGTCCAATATTTAATTAATCAATTTAATTAAATCTGGTCCATGAATTAAGTAATCCAATTAATTAATTCGAGCATATTAATAAGCAACCCAATTAATTAATTTATTGTTAAATTAATTAATTGATAAATTACAATCTTCTCGTTCTCCTTTTGTATGTGACCTATTAGGTTTCATATCACGATATTTAACGACGTAAATTATTATTTTGATCTAATCAAAATTGATAAATTAAAACATCCCTTTTAATTTATCACTTGTTCACATTCGTCGTCCTAAATTGACATCTAGCAATGTGTCAAGACAATACATCTGACGAGAAATGTCACGTGGTATGACAAAAACAAACTTTTTCGTTCTCTATGAAATTATAATCTTTTCGTCAATATGATTCGATCAATTACGAAATATGGATAAGTGTCAAATCTCAATTATCGATCATATCTCTCATTCCACTATTAAGTTGATACAAGTCAAAAACTCTTTTTCGACTTACGAGTACACCTCGACTAAGGATTTTGCTATCAACTTAACTGAATGAAATGTAGATCATAATCTCTTACTATCTAAAAGTGAAGAATTCTTTATTGATCATTCACAACCTTCAAACGATTCTTGACATACACGAACGATGTCGTATTAGCAGCCGTTGGCAGATCAACATTCAACATCACCAAAGTATGACTGCCCTCATACAAGGCACTATGATGATCTCAAGTGAAAGGACCAATTCCACTACAGAAAATTAGAGATTAACTACTGACACACAGATAGTTATCCTTATAGAATCTCCCAACGGGTCTCCAATGTTTTATTCTATAACAAAACATCTACGTGTTCATTTAAGTGGTGCCACACTTTAACTTGTGAGATTAGATACTTATTTCACAAGTAAGAAATGTCACCTGTGATGGTCCATCCGTAATAACGATATCCATATCTTCTTATTACTTATGATCATGGATGATTTAAAATTCAATCATATATAACTTGTATCTCACAATTACAACTCCTTGTGATTAACAAATTACTAATATTTGAATCTACGAGCTCTATTATTTAATTTAATTGAATATTAATTAAATAATAAATCTGCCATAAATTACATCAACCATTTATTAAAAGTGCTTATGTTTAAAATTGATTGGACTTGGGGCATAACACTTACACATACCTTCCTTTTTCCCTCGACTTTTCAACATTACTAGAGTCTATATATTTTAAATTAACGTTAATACTAGATTAAATCATATATCCACCTTTTTGTTAATCATATATGCCTAGCCTTTTTGTGTCACTGATTTTCTATCTTTGTTGATTTTGACAATTTATCAGTAACTCGTCATTAAAAAGGAACATCGATGCACACAACTTAAAATCTCTCTATTTTTTAACAATACATTCTTCCCAAGAAAAAAAAAATCGATTTTTACAAAATCTATTCTGAAAAATTATACATCAAACTGATTTTTAATTTTTTTAATTGACAACATCGTGATGATGTTTATATACATATAATAGTCAATAAACATATAATCTTTGGCAAACTACTGTCATTAACCCCTGAAACAATTATACACAATCAACCTGACATTTTAACATTTTAAGGAATATTAATTCAAATGAAACACAATTCTACCTAATTGTCAATTCTATAAAATTAATTCTCACAATTTCACAGACTTACCTTTTTAATGCTATGATCAAACTGATCTAAGTTCTTCAAACGTAAACCCGGCTGTTTTCCTCATCGAAATCTCGCATTAACGTCGACTCCTCGTAACTCGTATCGAAGAAGAATCCATAATCATCCTCAAATTTAGTTTGCATCATTTTACAGCCGGAGGGAGTTTCAATATTCATCTCTTGAGACAGCTGAAGGTAGTTACTCCGGTCAACGTCCGGGGCCAATAAATCGTGAAAAGTGCTAGGGTTTTGGCCTTGCTCAGAGAAAGTGATCGCGTTTTGGTCGCCATAATTAGGCAGTGTATATTCATTTGTATGAGGAGATGCAGCCATATTCGAAGTGGTTGAATTATAGAAATTTTGTGGGCTTAATTGGTTGCCATTCTCACTCTTGCCTTTGTGAAATACTCGACATAACACCCAGTCTTCCTGTCAATGTTTGTAAAAATATATATATGTGTTAGGTCCATAAATAATATAATTAATCCAGGAACAAATTTTATATTACTATGCATTTGGTTTTAAACTGAAATCCCTAAAATGACTACATTAATAACTGTCAATGTCAATGTTATTTTAGGGGAGGGAAAAAAAAAAAAAATTATGATTTTATTATTATTATCTATTTATATTTTTTTAGCCCTTATGTGTTTAAGAATGTTTTAGAGTTTTTTTTTTTAATTATTATTAGATATTGCCTTATCTTACTAAAGTGTGACAAGTTGACAAAAATAAATATATATCAATGAAAAGTTTAACGCCGACAAAGATCTTTGGTAAAAAATTTAACTGCACCCATTTATTGAAAAATAAAAAATAAAAATTGCATGCTAGAATCTTTAGGAAAAAGAATTTTACATGCCCGTGAGGGGATGAAAACACGGTTACTTTAAAAAGCTTTAGATATAATGACTTGACAAAATCTTATCAAGTGAAAAGGGCCTTTCCAAAAAGGAAAAAAACAATGAGAAACGAATAAGGAGCAATAAACGCGTACAAGAATTTTTAAATGACCTAAAGAAAAGCATATATAGATAGAATCTTGACTTGTTTCCAATGAAGTGTCTAAAAGAAGTTTTCTTACAACACATACACATGACCTATGTTTCTTTCTCTGCCTATAGATATAGAGTGAGAAGAAAAGAGGAGCAAAACGTTATAATAACTAACCTTAGGAGGCACGTGAGGGTTCTCGAGTCGAAACTCATGCATGATCCAGCCTGTTTTTATTCCATTAGGGGCCCTATTCTTGTAGAAAACTAAAGTCTTTCTCATCCCTACCGTGGCCCTACTCCTCGGATCGAGTACTGCTCGGTCTTTTCCCGTAGCCTTCCAGTAGCCTGAGGTGGTGGCCCGATTGGTCCGATACCCAGTTGCATATTTGCGATCTCGAAAGCTGAAGAAGTACCACTCGCTCGAATTCAGTTTTGCCACCTCTACAAAATTATGCACGTATATTAAGTATACCATAATAAAGTTATATGCGTATCTGGTATAAACATAATAAAAAATAAAATAAAATGGTAAGCATATACATATTACAACATGTATTTAAAACTTTATAACACATTTATGTATGCGTTACGATTGTTTAATTATAATTGCTTGTGTGTCAATTTTCGCCAAAGTGACAAAAGTTGGTTATGTGTCACAAAGATTCTCAAGGTACACCATAATAAAGTTATATGCGTATCTGGTATAAACATAATAAAAAATAAAATAAAATGGTAAGCATATACATATTACAACATGTATTTAAAACTTTATAACACATTTATGTATGCGTTTCGATTGTTTAATTATAATTGCTTGTGTGTCAATTTTCGCCAAAGTGACAAAAGTTGGTTATGTGTCACAAAGATTCTCAAGGTAGGTCTTTGCTTTCACAAAGTTTGTGGGAAAGTCATATGAAATAATGGGAAAAGTGTTTGAACATTTTCTACTAATCAGATAGGGTAAGAAGTCTATGTCTCTTCTTAATTTCTTCACCTACACGACTTAAAATTAAGGATATTTATCACATTCATATAATATTGACATCTATTTGTATTTTTATGAATCTCATATATATATATATCTTTAAAACAAATATATTTTCCTTGATTTTTACTTTTTTGGCTTGCAGTGATTTTGGTTGAGCCAAAATGAATAATAGACTCAACCTGAAAAGGCTATGTACTAATAACATAATTAAACAGATACAAAAATTAGAGGTGGACAGCGTCAAGTGAGGTCTAGTTCGGAGTTGGATGAAATTTCAACTAACAAAAAATAAAAAAACTGACAACATAAATAAATTGATGAACCCAACACCTCAAACCTAGGTTTTTGGGTTGTTCCAAGCCAACTCGAAAATCAAATCGACCTGACTCGATTGGGTTTGATGGTTTGAATTGGTTAGGGGTAATTTGTCCACCCTTAATGAAAATATATAGTCTCAATCAAAATATGGCATAGAAATTCTCTTCATAGCTTTAACAGCTATTAACGCGTTTCATGTTTGACATATATTTTTGGACAAAAAAAAAAGTTGTTTTAAAGACAATTTTCCATGTCTGTTTCTGAAAATGAGCTATAAATAATTACTTTTAATTAAAAGTAGGATTGGGATTAAAGAAACAAAAAGATTCCCAAATTAAGCATTATCTTCTGCACATACATTCACAAAAGGATGCTAGTTCATTGAACCTATATTGTGTATATCCAAAAATTAAGATATTTATTTTCAAAAAAAAATAAAATTAAGAGATTTCTTTCTAGGAAAATATAAGGGCTTTTCTGAATTTCTTCACACTTTTAGGAACAATTATGACTAAAAAAGACGTAAACAAAAATATTATGAGTCAATCTGAGGATAAGTTTAACCTTGTGAAAGCTAAAACAACTGAACTAATAACTAAAATCAAATAATATAATGTTTAAACATATTTTGAAGGAAAGTTAATGAAATTCATATATTTGTCCTCTCTCTCAAAAAATAAAATAAATAAATAAATAAAGAAGTAGGACTATTATTTGTGGCTAAACAGTGATACCTTCAGTGTGTATTTTGTTGCCACAAGCATTCTTAATTATATTTTTCAGATGACAAACAGATCAGACAGGAAAACAACAGAAAAATTAAATTGAGGAAGAAACGCAGGAGAAATTGAATTTCACAACAAAAGTTGCGCAAGAATTGTCCAAGAACAATAAAAGAAAAAAATAATAATAAAACCAAGAACCACCTCCGGTGGAAGGCGGGGTAGGGGTGATCACTGAAGAGGAGAGAGAATGAAGTATTTACCAGGGAGCTGCCATGGCTCACATGTATGAAGATCAATTTCCACTAAAGTACCTTTAAGAACTTGTTCATTAGCAATCTTTTTGTAAAGATAATGGCAAACAAGTTCTTCGTCGCTCGGATAAAACCTAAAACCTGGTGGCAGTGTCTCTCCAATGTCTCTTAATCCCATAATATTGTTTAAAAGGATTCTAGGAGCAGATGAATATGTTGTCTGAAAAAAGCTCAACTCTCTCTCTCTCTTTCTCTCTCTCTAATTTGTTAGGGAAAAGAAAATATAAGATATGTATACAAGAGAATGTATCATGCAATTATATATAAAGGTAGGTTGACAAGTACCTTAGCCAACTCGAATTTTTTACATTATTTTAGGAGCTTATGCTTGTGTAGTTAGTTATTGGGTCATGTATTGGGAAGTTTCAAGAAAAACCAAAGTCACAAGAAATCATTTTGTGGCAATAAAGAAGTAAAATCCAAATCCCATGTTGGGATAAAACCTCCAAAATACGTCTTTTAACTATAAACCACTAAAGAAAAATGTATTTTTGTTTACATTTTCTAACCTTTTGTCTAGGTGGGGTGTGGATAAATACAAACACTAAGAAACAAATAGACATGTAAATTATTAATAAAATTAGATTATCTAATGAATGTGGTCTTTTACTTTCCATTCTCATTCACCTATGGAGATAACGAGTAGGGTTATGGAAGGCCGAGAAAAAGTCTAATTAGCATTGAGATTATAACATAGACTCAATTTCATTAAAACTTTGATAAATCAGACATTAAATTATTTTACAAATAATGTTATCGACTAATTAAATTCATATATAACTAACCCCCGTTTGGCTTCCATTTTTTAGAAATGAAAATGGGTGGAATGGTATTTTTTTGAAAAATGAGTAGTTGAAAAAAGAAAGAAAAATTTTCGATTGACGTGTAATATTATTTTATGAAAAATTGTATTGTTGAAAAATAGGGGAGAAAAAATGGAATGTAATATAATGAAATTTAATGGAAACCAAACGGGGGCATAGTAGTTTTACTTTTTGGTTCTTAATTTGGAAAAGAATAATTGCATGATTGGTCCTCAACTCTACGGTTAGCTAGAAAAGGGAGTATTATGTTAGCTAGAAAAGAGAAGATCACAAATAATATTAATAAAAGATGTAAAAAGGAAAATACAAAGAGAAGCATCTCCTCCTCATGCCTCCACCTTAGGGCAGCCCCCTAGTTTTGCCTCCCTCTTGCATCGTCTCTTATTTCACCTCGATGCCCTTTGTTTCACTTCTCCCCATGGCCCCACCTACCTTGAAAAATGCCACCCGTACACTCTTTGGTTGACATTAATGTTGACAAGTGTTGGCAAGTGTTGATTGGGTGAAAAACTGTCAAAATGTAAATTGTCCAATAGTATGTTGTCATGCGACAAAACATTAAATAATAATAATAATAATAATAAAATGACATAAAAGATGATATACTTGTAGCATGCTTGCACTACCCTACCCTCAACTTCGTCACCGCCTCATCGCAAACCTCTGGGTAATTAAAAATAATGATATAACCAGCTTGTTACTCAAGTATTTAATTTTTAATAGAATATTGGACAAAAATAATAGCACAATATGGAGTATCAAAAAGCTCTTTTTTAGTAGTCGGAGACCAAACCCTCAATTTTCCCTTTAAAATATTTAACAGATGTCTTCTTACTTATTGGTTTCCTTCCACATCTATCGTTTGCAAATTATTATTATTATTATTATTATTATTATTATTATTATTAGCTTATATATATATATATATAATGAATGATCAGAGACACTGATGAAGATTAAAACTGGAAGGATACAACCAAATTTAGACAGCCATTTTTGATGTAGAAATTCTAAATTTCTAATCATGCAATGAGAGAAGTCCATTCTGTCCAATCTCATCTGCGCGAATAATTTGGATGAACATAAATTGTGGGCCAAAAATTGTTTCCCAGCTGGGGTATACCAATAATCATTGGGATTAAATTACAAAGCTCAATAATTTTTATTTTTCAAAATTTGTAAGGTTTGAGTATTCTAAGAGAAATAGAATCGGGTTCAAATATTTCGTATTGATTCATAAAAGATCCATTTTGTTCAAAAATATTATAAAGAAAATTAGTGCAATATAATTCTTGACGAGATATATAATTTTTGGAAATGAGGACAAAATTATACTTGTCATAATTTGGATCATAGAATGATAATTATTATGTATTGACATTATGAATGGGTCCATTATACATTCATATTCTTGGCTTAAAAGATCAAAATAATGAAAAGGAGGACTGTTACTTATCGAAAGCGATTAGTCATAAATACGTGTCTTAAACGTGTGTTAAGTTTACATTGTATAAACACTAATCACGATTAACCGACATCATAAATGCTCTCCTCGTAATTTGGATCATAGAATGATAATTATTATGTATTGACATTATGAATGGGTCCATTATACATTCATATTCTTGGCTTAAAAGATCAAAATAATGAAAAGGAGGACTGTTACTTATCGAAAGCGATTAGTCATAAATACGTGTCTTAAACGTGTGTTAAGTTTACATTGTATAAACACTAATCACGATTAACCGACATCATAAATGCTCTCCTCGTTCCATTTATATAAGTTGTTCTGTTTTTTACATGGATTAAGAAATCTTATTTAATAATATTGAAAAAGCAATTTTTTGTCAAAAACTTTCATAATCTACCTTTATTTATATTTGCACAATTTCAAGATTACGTGGAGAAAATTGGTTATAATTACTAGGAAAATTAAATAAGAATATATTAATAAATGAACGAAACAAAATATTATCAATGAAAAAATGATTGTATAATTGGGACAAGAAAAAAAAAGAAACTTGGCTTATATAAATAGGATGTATGGAGTAATATGTTTACATTGTATAAACACTAGTCATGATTACGCGTGATCATTTTTACACTAATGATGGGTCTCTAAATTCAATTATTATTTGCATGTGTGAAAAAGTTGAGATTTTACCCTATCATATTAATTCCCATCTCATTGATATGTTATTAGAATAAAGTCACTTAGTTAGGCTTAAAAACAGGAAAGAAGGAGACAATCTGATTTGACAGCAAATGATTGGTGTTTTGTATTTTAATTTTTCAAATTGTTTAATCACGCATTGACACGTGTCTCACTTATTTTGGAACCTATATGTATAGCATGATTGATACTATTATTATCTACTCAACAAAGAATGTATTTAATTCCATATTAAGGAAGAGATTCTAAGTTCTTATCCTTATTCGTGTTACATTTTTTTTTTTCAGTTTTAGCTCTTATTCGTATTACATTTTGTTTCAGTTTTAGCTTTCTAGCATTTGTATTAACTAATAGTAAGCACGTGCGTTGCACATCTTATGTACTGAATAGATGATATAAGTAATTAAAAAAAAATTAAAATTGCTAGAGAGTAAAAGTCTTATGAAATTACATACATAGCCCTTGTTTAAGCCTCATTATTTGGAAAAAAATACATTCTTAAATAGTATTTTGATATCATTTCAACCACATATTTTTCAATAAAATAATATTACACGTAAAT